CCTCAAATATCAGCATCAAGGGGTCGGGAGTTCAATTAAACAGGAGGCATGAGGAAAGGAAACTTACGAAGACAATATACCTCGGTTCCGGCCGCATCAGAGGGTGCCCCGGCACCGGATACACAAACTTGAGGAGAGCGTCGGCGTTGTCCCACGAAGGTTCCATCGCCTCCTTGATGCGCTGCGCTACTTTAGAGGGGGAAGGCGCTCCCTCGGTGAGCGTCATCCCCTCGAATGACGCCTCGGGCGCCATCGAGTACAGCGGCAGCGCGCCTCATCAACGACGCCACCCTTCTCGTGTGGTAGGCACCGATGATGCCTGACCCCTTTAGGCCCCTCTCCTTTAGGATTCCGATGGCGGTGAGGTGGTCCCAGATCCTCTTCTTATCCTTTTGCGGGACACACCACTTCCTCCATGAGTCCGGGACCTCTTCGACTAGGCACCCGGAGAACTCTAGCAGGGGGTGGCTGCGTCGTTCTTGAGATGGAACCAATGTGAATGCCACCCCTTGTTGGAGGTTGACAGACGCATTGGTGGGTATTCGCCGACCCAGTTGTTCTAGAGTTGGATGCCGGCGCATCCCATTAGCGTGTTCAGCTCCTGCTTCTTCTCCCGCTTCTTCAGGAGGGTGACGACGAAGAAGTACCACCACAGATCAAAGTGGGGACTGATCCCTAGGAATCCCTCACACAGGACGACAAATGCCATAATGTGTTGGATTTCGTTGGGATTAAGGTGTTGTAGCTCTACCTTATAGTAGTGCAGCAGCCCCCGAAGGAACTTGTGGGCTGGGGTGGCAAGTCCCCGCTCATGGAAGTGCACGAACGAGACGACATAGCCGTCGGGCGACGATGGCACGTCCTCCTCGCCGGGCAACCGCCACTCCTCGGTGATAGTCTGCGCGTAGAGAAGACCACGGTGGACAAGGCCCTCCATGCGCTGGAGGGTGGTATCAGAGCGGCACCACAGCTCCATTGGAATATAGGGGTGGGTGGACACAAACTCGACAGCGGTTGAGACGCGGAGGCAGGAAGAACTAGGCGATTGGTGGCGGAGGTTGCAGATGCGAAGGCAGGGAGGCAAGATACTAAACCCTGGGGGCAAACCCTTTGGTTTTATAGGGGCGACGGATGCGAAGAAACCAACCGTCCGCCTAGATCTTCGTGCCTACCACGATCTGCCTCAACGTCATGCCACGGGATATGCGCGCGCAATCCCTATCCTTTCCTTTGGAAAAATCACCAAACATTTCGCCTCCCTGGGCGGACCGAGACTCGTTACGAGTAAGAGGAATCCGGAACAAAAAATGCCTCAAAGGCCCATCTGGGCCTCGGAGTTCGATGATTGGCCCATCAACGTGTCCAACGGCCACTCCAAGCACCCCTACAAATAAGGGATGGAAGGGGATGGGCCCCACAAGCGGCCAGCACCCAGGCGCGCAAGCGCCACGGGCATCTCGGTCCACGATTGAGTCTCAGCCAGGCTTACCCTGACCGAATCCCCATGAACGAGGTATCGGGACCCCAATCAAGCTATCCAGCTAAACAACCACCAAATCTCACAACCATACCCGTGAAGGGTTCGACCTTGGCAAGGAGAAAGCACCATCTTCAGGACACACCATGGGCAACAATAGAGGGCCAGGGCTCTCAGAGTCCTCTCTTTCGAAAAAAACTCCGAAGGAGTATTATACTCCTCCACAGGCTCGGGGGCTACACCCATCGGGTACGCTCGCGCGCACCTGCTGGCAAGTCAAAAAATCCCCTAGGTGATTCTACTCGAATCGCCCGGAGGCTCGGGGGCTACTGTCGGAGACCAATAGTAGGGTACCCAAAGAGGAGGAGCTAATGATCATTAACATTGATTCATCCGCATGATCAAGAGCGCGACTACGCCGCTTGCCAAGCTCCGCCTCGCCTAATGTCTGAGGGCAGACTCCATCTCGCCCGACCCCCAAGGGCTAGCTCTACCTCGCCCGACGTCCTAGGGCTGGCTCCGCCTCACTCGACGTCTGAGGGCAAACTCTGCCTCGCCCGACGTTCGAGGGCAGACTACGCCTTGCCCAACGTCTGAGGGCAGACTCTGTCTCTCCCAACCCCCGAGGGTTGGCTCCACCTCGCCCGACGTCTGAGGCCCGACGCCTATGACGACATTACCACAATACTGACTCAGGAATCGGGTGGAGCAGATAAGGCAAGATGTTCAAGTCAACAGCAATACCGAGGATCGTACCCTGCACACCTACAGGATAGTACCGTCAAACCATGTCAGAAGGGTGCTTTACAACCTTTCAGGCATGGCAGAGCTCCAACAGTGTTGTAGGCGCCGATATTTGCCCAACAGTGTTGTGGGTGCCGTCATTTGCCCTCGGGAACGGATCCTTACAGAAGCTCCTGACAACCACTATGGTCCAGAAAGGAAACTCGCATCACCCACAGTAACGGACGTACGGTCACTGTGCTGCCTGCTCCCTGTATGGCCGCTGATTAGCACGCTGGTCCGCCGCGCCGCCCGCCGGGGCGGGATGGGACATGACAACCCGCTGGCAATGCCAGAACTTGGCGTCGTCAGCGGACAGACGCCCAACGTGATCCTGTCAGGGTCAGCGGACATACGCCCAACGTGGGGCTGTCCCTGTCACCGCCTGCCATGTCAGCGAGGCCCGCACAGAGGAAAAGGAAGACCCGGCGTCCTCGAAGGACTTCTTTTACCTCTTGCTTTCCTTCTTTTCTCCCATCTGTAATCCGTGCTCTCCTTTGGTCTATAAAAGGGAGAGCAGGGCACCCCATTAAGGTGAGTGATCGATTAACCACATCACATGTCACACTACACCACATAGCTGAGCGGCAACCAAGCTCTTAGCACCCATTCGACCTTTCCATTAGAGACTTAGGACATATCCCTCTCTCGCCCATTTATAACCCCTACTACGAACTTTTCAGTGCTAATAACACGAGCAGCCATGAACTGGACGTAGGGACATTCTGCCTGAACCAGTATAAACCTTGTGTCTTTTTTAGCACACCATCCGGGTCAGACGCGCAATAACACAAATTTACTCGTTGGTGTTTACTCGAAACACCGACAGCAGGCGGTGACACGGTCGTTGCATTCGACATCGGCATGGGTGACGCGCAGAGACTCCAGATTGGCGCAGACGGAGTCCAATGGGCTGAGGCGCCTGTCAACGGCGGCATCGTGGGATGAGCAGTCGAGGTCTACGAAGCGGCGCTCCCACTTGTCGTCGTGTTCATCAAAGCGACGCGTGAATTCGTCAAGGACAAGCTTCACGTTGGGATCCATGACTTCGCGACGGCGTTGGAGTCTAGTGAAGTGCTCGTGGGGAGGGGTAGGATCCAGGTCCATAAATCCGATACCAATTGTAGCAAGAGCAATCGGGTGGGGAGGGCTTGGAAGAGGGGAAGTAAGGGGACCTGTCAGAGGACAATATTTGAGTAGTAGGAGATAGCGTTTACAAATTTCATACCCCTCTCAAGTAAGGATGGCAATGGGTAAATCCCCATCGGGTATGGCCACCCCAGACCCATCCCCGCCATAAAAATTTGGTACCGCCAGAATACCCATACCCGCTATGGGTGGGGAATTTTCCCCAGACCCATACCCGTCGGGTAAATCATACCCGGCAGGTCACCCATACCCGCCAATAATTTATTCACGCACATGAAAATCAACAATTCAACAGCAACCACCACTAACCAGAGCACATAAAATTAGACAAATAATAGCATATCACCGTTCTTGCTCGAGTTGCTCTGTCGCCGGCATGGCGTGGCGAGTTCCTGACGCTTTGATGCGATACGAATACGCGAGACGAGGTCACGAGGGGTGGGCGGGCGGCGTAGTTTTTTTTTTCCGGGCGGCGGCATTTTTTTTTGGCGAGTGGTGATTGCGGTGCCAGGCTGCCAGCGCCGAGACGAAGTAACGACGCGCTTTACTCACGCGCCTATTTTTTCGGCGGTGGGAGGCCAGGCGTCGAGCCTCCCTCGAGCGGTCAAGGGCTCCAGCGGCCAAGTCGCCAGGCGGGACCGGTGGGTGAACCTAGGGTTTTACATGGGCTGGTGGGCTTATTTAGTTTTGGGCCGAGTATTTTTCACCCATGGGTAAACGGGTACGGGGATTGCTGCCTCGTACCCAATGGGTGAAGGGTTTGGTCCATTTACGTACCCGTGGGTAATGTGTTTAGTCCATATTTAGACCCTAATAAATACCCGTCGGGTATCGGGTCGCGGGTCCCCGTTGCCATCTTTACCTCTCAGTCACGCTGTCTGCCACGCAGGGCCACGCACGAGAGTGTTGGGCTTGATAGATCTCTTGGGCCGGGCTGGAATCACGGCCTTGCTGTAGTCACTACTTCCAGCTGCTCCGTCTTCACTGTTGTCACTGCTTCCAGCGTCTTCACTGTCTTGGGGAGGAGCAGGGCCTTGAAGGGGTCCGCTAACAGGTACCTTTGGGTTTTTTCTTCTCTACGGATATTGGTAGGTTTGTGAATATTATCAAGTTGCACTTGCACAAGAAGATTACTGTAGTTTATACAGACTGAATTTGACTATAGTCATAGGCTCACGCAGCTCGTCAGGACTATAGTCATATAGCGTGTAAACAAGCAGGCATTTGTAAAGTAGAAACTCCAAAGGCCTGTATTTTTTGATAAAACAATTTAAATTTCTAGTTCCAGGATAAAATAATCCACATAGACATCACATACCCTACACATATTTCTTTTGCAGGTAATCCCTAGTTGCTGCAATTAGCAGAATGTATATCTCATCTCGGGGCCAGCCGTACTATTTCAATTTTTTATTTCTAATTAACATCACATTTACCCTCTACCGTGACACACACCACACTCCTGTTGTACAGGTAACCTCGAAGTGCGTCATTTTTGGCACGTTTAAACGTGCTGTTCTTCAGTTAACATGCTAATTACTCCTGTTCCTGAGAGCAGAGATAAAAGCTGTATCGGAGCCACTTATATGCTTCACTTGTGCCATACAGCATATCTGTCGCCAGAGACTGCCAGCCTCCACTCTGGATCGCCTGGGCACCACGAGCCGTCCCCGATCTTCATGCACAACTTATCGTCGATGATTGCTGAGTACAGATCTGATCTAACCTCCAGAATTTTGATTGATGAACGGCTATGTATGTCTTGGCATTTTCTGATTTGCATCTGGGTAAATAACATTCAAAACTTAAGAAACGCAGCATCATCATATTTGGAGACTATTATTAGCTGTGTAGTTTCCCTCCTTTCTTTAATTTTACTCTTTTCCTCTTTTAATGAATTATACCAGGGCTCCTACTGTATTTTCACAAACAAAAAAAGGCAGCTCAGGAAAGGATGAATCGAGTACAGAGGTACAATCTGCATACCAGTTTAGCAATTTCGTCATGGAGAGGCACTCCCTGGTCATAGAAGTGATCATAGAACACCGTGGGGATGCCAGGGTGGGTGAGTATATAAGCATATCCCTAAAGATTTTACATGTGTCAGACCAACAATTGGACTTCTAGAAAAAACAACAGCAAGCTAGTCTAAAAACAAATGATTTCTATTAAGTGTTATAAGGTGCTACAGTCGTAACAAAGAAATTAAGTTCTCTAAGATCATAACAGCAATATTTCTGTAAAATAATTAAACAGTACATATTATAGGATTCTGATGAAACTAAGGCTGTGAAAAATTATTTTGAACTACAAAGTCGATAAAGTATAGTACCTCCATAATATGATCTGATGGAAACGGCCAATGACCCTGAAATTGTGATTCTGTTAGCAAATCTAAATGGTGAACATTCCAGTTCATTAACACAGCTACAAAGGGTGAGAATTTGACTATTATACCTGAGTGGACCCAGTGTCATGATTTTCAATAAATGTAACTGATCTTGAAGGCCACCATCCCATCACACCAGGTGGTTTTCCTTCTGGGTCTCGCAAACGCCACAACTCTCCTTTGACAGCTTCCTGATTTAAACATTAACTGCTCAAAAAGACCACTTAAGACAAATATTTAGTACAGTAATTCATTACTGACCTGAAGAATACCCTTTGTCGTGAAATCAAATGCTGCACAAAGTCCTCCAGTGTTATCTATCCAATTAATAATTTTCTGCCTATGGCTATCTGCCAGACAAAAAGGGGAAAAAAACAATAGGTTTAGTACCACAAGCATGAATTATCAAAATAAGGCTAGACAGTATGCTTCATATTTAAGGATGTATATTGACACTTCAGTCAGTGTCATCCATAAGCATATAAGAAAGAAATCATATAAACTGCCTTAAATTTGGAACTGTAAATTAGCCCTGACATGTCGGACAACTTACATAGTTTCTAAACAGACTCAGAGCAGAGCAGTTTGAAGAGGCAACTATGGCAATGGATAGTAAATAAAAAGTTGACATAACTAAAATAGAAGCAAAGTTTTAGATAGTGGAAGTAATTAAAATTTAACCCAGTCCCGATTCATGCTTAGCAGTCAGGGGACTTAACTGAGAGTGCTTATGACAAAAATCATGGCACCAGCTCAAGTAGTCAGTATGAATGCTACTATAAATCTCTTACCTTGATTATAGTTCAGTCGGTAGTCAGGGGGGCTATATTCACAGCTATCCCAGTATTCCCCAACTGCAAAAAGAGGTTTTGATTCCTCAATGTATTCTTTCACGAACTTGGCTGCGTAACTGCACTAAAGAAAAGGTTGACAAATCAGCAAGTTAGCACTGAAAGATATTAGGTTGGCAACTAATTTCTTTCTTTCATAGTGGATACTAATCAAGCCAATTAACTATTTACCCTTTCGTGAAATCAAAGCGAAAATCTTGAAAACCAATAGAATTTCGAAGCCAGATCAACCATTCGATAATATCTTTGCGTACAAATGGTTGTGTATGATCTATGTTGGGAACCCCATCAAAGTTATCCCCAGTGCTCTTGTTTCCCTGATAGTGAAGTTGTATTGAAGTTATGAGTGGCTCAAGAGTAGAAAATATACATCAAGATACGGTGCCCAAGTAAAAGGTTAAAACAAGACAATCTAAATACCTTCCCACCAGAACAAGATGTAACAGCATGTTCATCCCATGATATTGGGATGCCATCATAACGATTATACATGCCATTGGATCCTTGAGTAGTCCCAATTCGATGGTTGATAACAACATCTGCCATAGCCCTTACATTGTGTTCGCTCATTTTATGAAGCAACAATTTTAGCTCATGGAGGGAACCATAGCATGAGTCAAGGCAGTACAGGTTCTGTGGTAGATAGCCTGTGAAAGAACACATCAGAATTCTGTAACTAATAAGCTTCGTGTAAGAGAGGATGTTGCTTCGCTTACCTTCTCGAGATAATGACTGTGTTGGTGGAGGAAGCCACACTGACGTAAACCCAGATTCTGCAAGATTAGTAACTTTCTCCTCCAAATTACTCCACCAGTTATGCTTATTGGATTCCCAGTTAAAAGCCTAACACATAACAATATCAGAAAAATACACAAGGGAACTTAAGCTTGTTCGTCCATCTACGTTTTAGCTGTTATTATTACAGAAAGCATAACCAGGTTGATGTAGCATGCAGGAAACACTTACACCTACATTGAACTAGAATCCTAGTAAGTGGCCCATATGAAGGTAAACGTAGATTATCATGACACATAAACAAGAGCTCACAAATATTAGAACCATCTATCAAATGCTGACAAATTAGTATCACACTTTCTATATTAAAATGGGTCGTTTATGTGTGCTTAGGCAACTGAATATAGATCCATTCACATGAATAGAGCCCCGGTAGTATTTCTACTCATCACTTTCATCCTTAGCATGATAGCAGAGATAAGCTTGGACATATATTCTCACCTGGAATAAGATTTCCCTTCCATTCTTGATGATCCCACCTGCGAAAAAGAAGTACAACACAATAACCACATTTCCATGAGAAACTTGATTAAAGAGCCGAAACAACGAATTAGATGGGGGCAGGAAATTAGCACTTCACGCTTCAAGCACGTGAGAATGAATAGACAGGGAGAAGAAAAGTTCACATGTACCGTGGCGTGCTGCCTGTTCTTCGAATTTATCATCCGAAACCTGCACAGATTCATGATTAACACATCGTCAGAACGAGCTGACTGGTCAGTGAGTCAAGAACAACGCCGTGACGACACACGATAAAACACGGCAGATGCTCGCGAACTCACTCACCATCTGGCCCATCCAAACTCAGACCGAAACTCAAGCAGCCAAGGGAAACGCGCAACCCACGCAGCGAACGCCTTCAACGCGCCGCACTGCAGCGGGAGCCTTCAGCCAGCGCGCAGCTACCTATCTATGTAGCCGCGGCGGCCGGCATGGAGATGGCCGCGGGCGGGCACGCGGGGCGAGGCGCCGCGCAGCGTTACCGGGGTCCAGTGGGCGCGGGCGCCCGCAGCATCCGCAGCGACCGGTGGAGCCCAAGTGGGGAGCGGGGACCAAAGTTGTCGGCACCCCGCGCCCCCACGCCGATCGGATAGAGTTGACGGCGGACTCCTCTGCCTCGCCGGTCGCCGCGTGCAATGGGATGGTGGGCTGAGAACACCGGTCAACCGGCCACAATTTTGGCACCAGCTGCTTCGAATCTGCTCACGCTGCTACTGATCCGATGAGGTGAGGAAGGAATGGGAGGAAGGAGAAGTTAGCTTTGCTTGTCCCCTTGGGCTTCCACTCCTCTTGCGCTTTTCCGATCGAGACTTGAGTGGAATCGCCGGCGAAGGATTTGGGGATTCGATTCGAGTTTTCTCGGAGACGTTTAGTCAAGGAAAAAAAATAAAGGGGATAATAAAAAGATAATTGGTTCGCGTAAAAAAAAAGATAATTGGTTTTGGACCTCACGATGGCCCGGCTAGGTATGGGCCGCTGAATAAGGCACCTAACTTGCCCACAAGGCCTCTAACGCCAGGCCCATAATCCATACCCACTTTAGCACCCAAAACACATGCACAAGAAAAGTCCGAACCAATTTTAGCCCATACTGCACTAGACCACTAGTGCACTTGGTCAATCGTCCAGTGAAGTGCTAGACAGGGACTGAGGCTGATGTGTGATTAGAACAACGCGTTTGGTTCCCAGCTTGACCTCGCCTCCCCCTCGCCTAGCTGCGCTCGCGCAGGAAACAAGGACCTTGCCCGCTCGGCCCAGCTGATCAGGCTCTCCCACGAGAGCAAGCTAAACCTTGCCGGCACAATTCCCGAGAATCTTGAGCGAGGAACCAAATGTGCACCTTTGCTCGCTATCCTCGCTCGGTAAGGAGCCACAGTGCTGGACAAAGAATCCAAACACGACCGTATATTTAGGGCGTGGTTGGTTCATGTATGAACCAAGCTTGGTTTATATCCAAGCTGAGTGCATGTAACGCTGATATGTTTGGTTACTTGCACCTGGTTAGTCTAGTCGAGTTGAGATGGTGTTTGGTTGCTCACACTATAGCATGTTGCATGAGATAAAATTAAGCAAATAACCATAATCACGATATTTATTATATGCAATTATCTTTTATAGCTCTTAATTCATGTTATTATTCCTTGATATTGTTTGAAATACACTAATAATATCAATTGATATATGCTGATCATACACTAACAATGCCATTATCTCAATAATTGCTCGCATCTGGCGAGCATGGCTCTAGAGATAGGTCCAAAACCTCCGTATCTTGGGAGCTAAGCTAAGGGCAGCTTTTTGCATAAGTGGAGCCAAGCTCGAAATGCCGTGCAGGCAACCAATCATCTGAAACATATGCATCTCGTGAGCCTGGCTGAAACATGATTTGCGAAGCTCTTGTGTGTGCGGCTTGGCCATTCTTTGACCGGAGATCTACCAGCTCGTCTAATTGAAAGCTCAACCCACCTTTAAGTTTTCTAAAATTTTTGTTTGTAGATTATATTTTTATTTATGAAATACTTTTATTCCAAAACTATATACGATGGAAGTTTAGGGAGTGTTTGGATGTCTTGCCACGTTGCCTCACTTCGCCTGGCTTAGCAAAGCTAGCCTTGCCAATGCAGGTGAGCTGGATTGGCTCTCTCCAACGAGCGAGGAAAAACCTTGACAGCGCAGAAACGAGATAGGTTATAAAGAAACCAAACGGTCTGAAGTTTGCTCAACATGGGAAAGCGAGCAGATGAGGAATCCAAATGCACTCTTAGGGCAGTCCCAATGAAAGAAATTAGTAGTTTCTATAATATAGGATACCGCACCAAAAAAAAGTACTTAGCACTCATCGCTTTTCAACAGTGCTCGCTTTCAATACATTATAAGCACAGCAAAGTGACATCCTCGCCATGGTTTCTATGAGTAATAATTATTTTCTCTCTCTCTCTCCAACTCTATCTTCTTCCTCCAATGGGAGCGCGACACGAGCTCCCTAGAAAATCTATTGGTTTCTTCCCAATGACGATTTCATGGTTTCTTGGTGCATTGGGTCAAGAGTAGACCTGATTTCTTCATGAAGAAACTATTTCTATGATTTTTGCTCTCTTTCTTCATTAATTACGTTGCCATATCAGCATTTTACCTACGTGGCAAGTCATTTAATGAGGATAGAAACCATCATCAATGCATCATTGGGACTGCCCTTACTCCCTTAGCTTGGCTAGCGGAACTTCCACCTAGGTACTCCCCCATTCTAGATTATAATAGTATAGTACACTTTAGTTTTTTTTCTTGTTTTTGCCAAAAATATTAAATTTTAATTAAATGAAACTAAAGATTTGAAACTGGTGAAGTAGAACATAAGAGTTACTACTTCAACAACCTTTCTTTTAGGACTAACTTTAATAATTAAGGGATGAAAACATCCTAACCACTGCATCAACCAAGGATGCACAGACATTCATTATTTAGTTTGATCCAAAGTAGAAGCATAAAACGTACTTCCTCAATATTATTTTTTAATTAAATGAAACTAAATTCACCTATAATTTGAAACTGGTGAAGTAGAACAGAAGAGTTACTACTTCGACAAGCTTTCTTTTAGGGCCAACTTTATTAATCAAGGAATGAAAACATCCTACCTGCCGCATCAACGAGGATAAGGGCATGTTTGTAACGCAGGAATTTCATAGGAATCAGTTCATTCTCATAGGAAAAACACAGAACAACAAAAAATTCCTGCGTTCCAAACAAAGCCTACACATAGACATTCATTCTTGAACTTGATTCAAAGTAGAAGTGTAAAACGGTACTTCTTCCGTTCTAAATCGTAAGTTGTCCTAATTTTTCGACAAAATGTATATCTAGATGTATAATAAAACCTTTATATGTATCTTGAAAAGCTAAAATGGCTTACAATTTGTACGGGCTGAATAGGCCCCGTTTCGCAGGGCTCCACTTCACCAGAGAAGACGTTTTTTGGGGCTTTAGCTCCATGAACAGCTCCATCTGAGAAGCTGGAGCCGTTTTGTTAAATTATTTAGCAAAACAGCTTCTCATATAGAGCTTCTTAAAACATGCTCTCACAGAACCCCATGCAAGGCCCACGAGGATGAAGTGAAGCCAGGTGAAGCAAGTATTTTTGGTTCCATCCCACCTCAAGTCTCTATGAGAACACGATTTTAGGGGTTTCTTGGGTGAAGCCATTTTATTTTATCCCATTTATCATAAAACGGCTCCTCAAGTGCTATGATCCAACTGACAATTTCATTAAAAAATGTAAGCGGTTGCTAAACATCCAGCCATGGGTAGCAAATATGTGCATTATAATAGCCTCTGACTTTTAAGAAATTCCTTTTATCTGTTGTTGTTCTTCCTGTTTTTTCAATCAAGGAACCGAAGCAAATCGAATTGGTACCCTGAAAACAATACACGCAAAAGAGATTGCACTGGAGCTTTGTAACGACACATCATTATGACTTATCCATATAGGTCATTATATTAGTCAAAAAAAAAGATCTAAGTGACTAGTTGAGTAGTTCAAAAAGAGCAATTTTTATGAATTGTTTCAATGGTTGTTGGTTCATGAGGTTTTGGCACATACAAAAATCTGGCCAAAAAGGATTGCTAAAACAATGAAAAAATCAATTGAAAAATGAGGAACAAATATGTTTCATCTTGTAGTCTTGGTCACATAATGGTTGGCCTAGTTTGGATTGAGAGTCTAGTAATAATCCTACTCGAACTGTGCCTTTTTCTCCCGTTGGCCGGTGTAAGTCCCGAGCCCAAGCCTGAACCCGAACCCTCGGCGAGTGAGACGCTGACGATTGAGACCTCGGCACGCAGACCACTAGACCAGGATCCATGGATGAGCTCCGCGATCGCCTAGCTCTAGCGGCACCGCCATTCATGCCGCTACTGTTGTGATCGTGAAGCCGCTCGTCGGCCGTCGCTGGCCACTACAACTACAAAAATCAGCAGAAGTATGTGTCACGCACCTCGCGATCTTTCTCCTTGCCGTGCTTTGCCGGCTAGTGGACATAAAACCGATACCTAAAATCCAAACCTGAATTAGCCAGACACGACACCAAAATATCCGAATCCTAATTACCCCATCGTAGTTTCTGATAATAAGTTTAAAAAAACCTCACTTTAGTTCGGGTAATTTAGGTATTAGTACATGATTTATCCAAAATAGTGAAACACTATATGCTATTTAGTATCTGTGATTAACTGATTCTGTTATTTTCTAATGCCATTTATAATGCCATAGGAACCTTTTCATCTATGATGTAGCGCTTATGTTTTTTTGTTAAAATGGTATTAAGAGCTATTGTTTATATTGCTTAAACTTGTAGATATAGTTCTATTCTTTTTTTTAATAATAATTTTGTGATTTTGCTGATTTCTGGTAGTTCGGAATAGCTGCACCCAAAATATCAAGTACTATTTTATTAATATAAACTTTGGCTATTAAATTTAGATTTGAATTTCTTAAAATCCGAAATACCTCAAACTGAACTTTTCGGATAACCCAAATGCCACCCCTGACAGGTGGCCAATGCTCTACCGCGACGTCGAATGCTACCCTGGGCTGCCTTGGTCCTGGACTGGTGAACAAATTTGGCCCAACAAATGAAAGTGGCTAACAAAATGAAACTGAGCGATAAAATCGGTCCAAGAATAAAGTGAGCAGCAAAAATGAAACACAGCGGCAGAAATCTCAAAAGAGATATACTACTATAAACCAATAAAAATCGACTGAAAAATCTCCTTTCACATAGTTAAAGCTCATAGTTAATTTAAAAAAATGCATGGTTTTGCTAAATACTCTGAAACGGGAGAGAGGAAAATACGTGTACAGAGAAGGCGTAATGGCGTATGCAAAGCACTGTGGCAGTGTTGAGTGAACAGTGCCAGGAGAACAGCGACAGTACGTCAGGCAGAAGATGGTGTGATCCAGACCAACCATGGTAGCTAGCACGCGTGCACGCTTTTGCTTTGCATCTGTCCCGGTCGGGAGGAGGAGTTGGATTGGATCACGCTGCCTGCCATGATGGGCGACGACGCTATCGACCGATCGATCGGCAATAGCAGCAGCGTGCAAGGCGAAGAAGAGACCTTGGCATCATCATCATTCACCACAACCGATGGCTACCATCAGCCGCTGCTGCTGCTTGTCATGGGCAGCTCGAGTGGTCTCGAGCAACAACGCCATGGGTCCATGCACGCACTGGTGCACGCTTTTGGGTCCTCCACTTGGGCATCAGCTTAGGGCGCGTTTAGATGTAAATTTTTTTGGTTTTTCGCTACTATAGCACTTTCGTTTGTATTTAATAATTAATGTTTAATTATGGACTAATTAGATTTGAAAGTTTCGTCTCGCGATTTCTCACCCAACTGTGCAATTAGTTTTTTTTCCGTCTACATTTAGTACTCGATGCATATGCCGCAAGATTCGATGTGATGGATACTGCACAAAAATTTTTGAGAACTAAACAGGCCCTTAGCTTCAGCATCACCCTCCATGCGACGCGACTCCATTCACGCATCGACAGGACAGGCAGGAGATAATAAAGGAGCAGAGGAATTGAGTTCCCCTCCAGAGAGGGCCGGGCCGGCCATCATCCATGCATGCACCACCACCATTTCGTGCATGCCAAGCTGCCAACCAATGCAAACCAAAGGCGATCCGAGATCGACCAGTCGGTCTAGCCAACATATAATTGGCTAGTGGGCCCTTACCTACTGGCGCTCCGTATCTAGACTGTCAGTTGATAGATAAAAAGATCACGCTGGACAGAGTTCATGCGACGTGGGTGCGGTGGTGACTGGTCACGCATGTACGATCAATCGACCGGTGCATCGTCATCCACAATCTTTCGTTCACCACAAGCATCCAAGTCTAGCTAGGGGCCAAGGCATGCTATGCTGTTATATTACTATATCCTTTCTTTAAGTGGGGGATATATGCATATATATGAATGCATCCACAAGCTTTGTAAAAAGATGCAATGCAAGCGACCCGTCTTTAATTAATTCGCTCGCCACAATGCCACATATATATTCATTCACATGTCACTTTTGGGCGGCAGCCCGAACAAGATTTGTTGGTTTGTTCCGTTTTATAGTCGTGAGAGCTACTAGCTCGGAGGAGAAATAAAGCCATGCATCATGCAGCAGGGGGTGCTCCACCAGGTGCGACTTGCGAGTAGTGCTCTTTTCCACCCGGGCTCTCATTCCATAGGCTGAAGATCGCCGAGACCTAAATAATAGCGATCACGTCGTCGACTGGGAACGCTAGCTAGCTCTCTTTCATTTCCCCCTTTATCTTTTCCGATGGAAAGAGATAGTGGAATATGCCGCCTATGTGGGCACATAATCAGGGCCTCCACTCTCTCTGGGTTGCAATGCATCGAGTGCAGGCTAGGCTGATTCGTGCTTGCCACTAGTGTCGTCGTCCTGTCTGCAGTGCACTCATTTCCGTCGTCCATCGCTTCGCGTGCATCTCAACACAAGACAACAACGGACGGACGAGGCGCCGACCCTGGAGTGCGCACATGCTGACACGGACACGGAGGGAGGGAGGAAGGAGCCGGAGCCCCTCTGGTGTGGGGCCGGCCCGCGGCACGCAGCACAAAAACTATTCAACGGCCCATTTTAAGAATCCGGAGCCCCGCGGCGTGAGGCCCACGCGGCGTCAACACTAGAATAGGCCCTTTTCACTTTGCGGGGAAAAGGGAGAGCGCGCACATGCCCGCCCCGCCTCTTTTCTTCTGCTTCGTGGGATTCGGTTCGGTTCGGAGACCAAGATTAGCAGGTGCTGGCGTTGCTATTGCCTATTATTGGCCGGGGACCAGCAGACACTTACAACTATAAGTACTCCATATACATATTGAGAACAGCGGCAACACATAGGAGGAGTATAGAATAGTAATTGTAACACGCACGTCTGTTTCCAACTTTGTACTAAACACTCCATCTTTTTTGGTTCCCAGACTCTAATCTAAAGTCGCCGATCTAACAAAGCACCTCTGATGTTATTCTTAACCTCCCACTAGTATCTAGCTTCTGGTCGACACTAGGCTTTGTTTAGCCTAATGTACAACTTGATTTATGCATGTACTATTGTGCACTACAAGTGTGCAATCCATAATAGGGCATAGTAGATTCATGCAACCGTGCTGTGCTGCCTCCATATGTTGTGTCGCTCGCTGCAGGCTGGTTCGCCTCTGACCAAATCTCACGTAAGATTTGTTGCTATTGTAAAAAAAAAAATACTGCTGGTAGCTTTGCAAATGGATCGGCTTTTGCCCTAGGAAATTCTGTGAGTGGAATCCCCTCGTCTCGATGGAAGCGCATCAACAGTCACGTGTTGATCCCCCGTAACTTACTGCACAAAAAGTGTCAGCGGACATAAAGCGGCAAAGTGCACATACACTAGTCGACCGTACTAGTACTACTAAAGTGGATGGAAGTACCGATGCTAAAGCACGCATGTAGAGATCCCATTAGTCTAACCGCATTGCGTGCAGATTGGACCTCTAATTAAACTAGATCATCGAATCCTTGGAGGCCAAAAGCTACTTGATGGTTCACTAGTCATCACGCACAACCCAACACGCCGGGGTGACCGGCAACAGTACACACTCTAGCAGTGCAGTCACCATCAGCACAAGTGCGAGAATCGATGACTGCTCCTACCCCTACGAATACGCTCATCGTGCACGAAAAAAAATGGTCGCCGCCGTGAACCTTCAGTGTCGACGTGAGCTAGAGCTACAGCCTACCTTCAGGAGTCCTAGTACTGTAGATGAAAGGAGAAAAGCTACTAGTAGCAGTAGGTTGTCAGGGCCAGGGCTGGCATCGATGGACCGGTCCGTCCGTCACTCCGTCGTCGGTGTCGTGCTCCCGTTGCCTGCTTTTGACATGTCACGCTTCACAAGGAGGCGCCGAGCTTGGCGAGGACGCAGCAGGAAAGTCGTAAAAAAACACAGACGACTGGAGAGATGGAAAAAGCAGCCTGTAGCAAGGTGGAGTGGAGTCGTCATCAAAGTGGAGATAATCCCTGCGTAAAAGTACTCGAAAGACGCTGCCCCTCCTGCCATCACACGCTTAACCTAACCCTAAACGTCGTTGTCGGCTGCCGCTTCACGCGCCACCAGGCCAGAGGCAGGAAAAGGCAACTGCGCCGCGCCTGCACGCGGGCCGGGCACCGGTACGCACGCACGAAAGGAACCGATGCGCTTGTTTCCTTCGTCGCATCTTTTCTCGAGCGCAGGCGGCAGGCGGAGTGTGTGACTTTGACTAGACGTGACCTCATGTGATTACAGCTGCCCTGCCTTCGCTTTGCGGTCTACTCCGTACCCTACCACTACCAGCAGAACGTCTGGCCGCGTGTGATGATAACCATGAACCCGTACTAGTTGGACCATGGAATCGCGTCCCACTGCACTGCAAGTCCGAAACAGCACGGCAAGCAAGCACGCAGTCTGATCGATCTGAGGCTCTCGATAACAATTCGTGTACCGAGTGCTTGCTTGCCTCTCGATACCAATGCACCCACCGCGGTAAAAACTGACGCCCCTTTTACCGACAAAGATCTGTCCCGGGAGTACCCTCACGCCATTTATGCGGTGTGGGCGAGAGACCAGCGGCCGCACGCAGCTCGGGGACCAGCCTGCACTGCATAGGAGTCGTCCTACTCACATACGGGTACGACCATACGGTAGATGTGATCCGCCCCGGAGAGGGGCCCCTGCCTCCTGCCTGTCTCCATCCGGGTCCGGGGGCGTGGACGCCGAACCGTGCGGCGAGGCGCGTCACGAACACTAGTCAAGATCGCCGCTCGTAACACGATGGATTACGCTGCAACTTCGAGCAGATTTCGCAGCTAAACTTTGGCCGATTTCTCAATTAATAACAAAAGCCTATAGCCCAAAATACTACCAAAAAATAGGGTAGCAGAAAGATGTTCGAGCGGTGAACAAAGTTAGCGAATTAATAGAGACAGGTAATTAGCAGTACAACTAGCAACTGGGTCTAAAGATTGCCTATGCTGCAACTTCGAGCATTTCTACAGGATGTACTCCTACTGCTACTAGTACCCCAACAAAAAGCTTGCCGCTTAACCCGTGTCACGTGACTCACGTGCCGGCGCATGCGTGCGGGAGGCAGCGGAACTCGATGATGAGAACCTGGGAACGAAGACGACGACGACTACCGCCCGCCGCGGGAACGAACGCCGGCAGGGCCTGGCCTCCCTCGTCACAGCAGGACCTGGAGCGAGGCGTTCCTGGGGGCGGCGCAGACGGGGCACACCTCGGCGCCGGCCTCGCACGCGCGGCACAGGCACAGGTGCCGGCACGGGAGGAGCAGCACGCACGCGTCGCCGCCGCCGCACGACTTGCACGACGGCGACGACGAGCAGCCCCTGGACGCCGCGTCGTCGGTGACGACGAGCAGTCCCGACGGGGAGGTCTCGAAGCAGCAGGACCGCGCGTCCTCCGCCTCGCCGCCGCCACAGTCGGCGCCGGCGCCGGCGGGCTCCTGCAGCAGCTGGTCCAGCGTGGCGCGGAGGCCCGCGGCGACGGCCTCGTGGCTCCTGGCGACGCCCTGCCACGCCTGGCCCTCGGCGGCCAGCTGCCGGAGCCTCTCCTCCAGCTCCGCGTTGCGGCACCGGGCGCGCTCCAGCTCGGCCTCCGCCACGCGGAGCCGACCTGCCGCGGCGCGTTCCACGGCCGCGACCACCGCGCGCGCGTGCCGCCGGCGAGCCTCCTGGAGTCCCGCGCGCATCCTTTCCGTCTGCAGCACAACCATGCGGAGCAAGCATCAGATACCGTGTACACGACGTATGTATGGAGGAAGGAACTCGACGGACTCCCGGTCACCAGATCAATCGATCAAGAGGGGAGGATCAATCAATCAAGAATTACAACGCACCTCGAGCCGCACCAGCGCGTCGATCTCCACGCCCTGTTGGTAGAGCTGCGAGAGGACGCCATTGGCCGACACCACCGCCCGACCGCTGGTGGACGCCGCGCCGCACCCGCCGGCCCTGCTGCTCTGCGCGTCGCCAGCGAACACCTGGCTGTGCGGCACCGGCAGGGGCAGAACCAAGCCCTGCTGCTGGTGGCTGCCATCATCCAGGAACCCGGGCGCAACGCGTGCACGCTTCCTCGGGAGGAACACGTTGATGTCCCCGCCGCCGCCGTTGCAGGTGAGCTCGCTGCGCGGCTGGGCGTCGCCGAACGCGGCGTCCCCGATGGTCGGCGCCGGCGCCGGCGCGCACCCGCCGAAGCCGAGCTCGTCCAGGAACACGGAGGCGCCGCCGCCGCCGACCGCGGCGCCCTCCAGTGCCCTGAACACGTTGCCGATGTCGTGGTGGGGGAGGAAGGCGGGGCTGAGTAGGTGCGGCGCCTGGACAGCCATCGACACCACCGCCTTGTCTTGGCAAGAAGAGGCCGGGAAGAGGGAGGGGGAGATGGATGTGGGTAGTGGAAAGGCAACGGGTGGGAGGGGAAGTTATATATACGGGAGACGGGGCGGGCCGGCGGGCGGTGCGGGGAAGACACGTTGGGTGTGTGGGGGCGCCTGCAAGGAGACAAAAGCTGCCGGGTTTTTTTTGTTTATCTTGACGAGTAGAGAGAGGGAGGCCGCAGGGGAGGCAGAACAGAACAGGGCAGGGCAAAGCAATGCAAAGGTTCCCACCCCAAATTCCTAAAAAGTGCTATAGTAGTATCACATCGAATCTTACGATACATATATGAAGTATTAAATATAGATGAAAAAAAACTAATTATACAATTTGGTTGGAAATTGCGAGACGAACGTTTTGAGCCTAATTAGTCCATGATTGAACAATAATTGCTAAATAAAAACGAAATGATACGGTAACCCAAATTCCAAACTTTCCCAAACTGCGCGCGTTTAGTTCCTACCCCAAATTCCTAAAAAGTGCTACATCAACCGTCACATCGAATCCCACGATACGTGCATGGAGCATTAAATATAGACGAAAAAAACTAATTGCACAGTTTAGTTGAAAATTGTGAGACAAATATTTTAAGTCTAATTAGTCCATATAATTAAACATTAATTGACAAATAAAAACAAAATTGCTGCGGAAATCCAAATTCCAAATTTTAGGCAACTAAACACGGCGTCAGGGAGGGAGGCAGGCAGGCAAGCAAGGCAGCAGGCGAACGGATTGGATGCTGCTGCGACCTCTCTTTTTCCCACGCCTTTAATAATGGCGATCGTTTACGCCGGAACCAATACTTTTATCGGGCCTCCTCGCCTTTGCTCTGCGCTACGCTTCTTTTTCTCTTTTCCCTGTCATGGGGTTTTTTCTTTGATTTTGTTGGCTTGCCTGGCGATTGATTCGCCGAGTGGCAGCGTGACCCTGATGCAAGACGTGGAGTAGAGTGCGGGGCCTGGGTGGTGGTGGTGGTCCGCGTGAGCCAGCATGCAAAGGGTGGCCTACCTGCCTCTGAGAGCTGACGTTATGTCTTTTTCTTCCTTTATTTAATTTAATTCAATCTACCTTTGTGTTTGCTCGATTGCGGTTGCGTCATTACCGGGGAAGTCATCAAAGAGCATTCCGGATAGGACCAGTAGGAAAAATGAAAAAGTCTGCTATTCTAAGTAACAGATGATGATGATATTCTATCATCTTAGCAGGGGTGGATCTAAAGGGGCCCCACCAGCCCCCCTACCATTGGTGCATCCATGGAAATATGGAGAGGGTGAGGAAGAAGAAGAGGTGGAGGAATGAAGAAAAATGGAGAGAGAGAAAGAAGAAGAGATCAGCTCCTCCTTCAATCCTGTTATGTATCCGCCACTACTCGCTAGGTAGCAAGAGGAGCCACAACGATTAATTTAAGGACATGTTTGGACGGAATTTTGAGTATTTTGATATTTTTTATTTGAATCCTTCCAAATCCTAAAAACAGGTGTACATGGGCTTTTAGAATCCAAATTTGGTAAAAATTCTCCAATTATGCTAAAAGATTTGTCTCACGAACAGGTGTACATTAGTTTTTTTCGCTTTTAGTTCAACCAGGGTGAGATCTTGAAAAAAACTTTGGATTTTGGGGAAACACAGGGCCTTAGTTCAACCATTTTGGTGACCCATGGTGACCCATGTAATAATGGGTCCGTTGGATATAGATCTTGTTATGAAGGGCTTTTTCGCATAAAATGATTTAACTTAAGAGGAATATTTTGCATTATAATAAAGATGTTTTTTTTCTCTTCTCTAGAAATAAATTAGGAGCAAGTGAACTTAGAAAAACCTGGTTCACCGGCTCCAAAAGAATTCAGACCTAAAAAGCCTTAAAACGTGAACCACATAATTGTGCTACCGCGCTAGATTTTGTTGGCTTTCGTACACTATGTTACAAGTAACGTAACATACCATTTCCCTAGATTAACTTAAGAGAGTTTGGAAATGCTTTGTCCTCCAGTGCCTTCACTCTTCAAGCTTCTCCATCTTCACTTTTCACCCTACGCCTCCTCCGGTGCACAGTGGCGGAGCCAGGAATTATACATAAATGAGCCAGTTGAAGATTTTCAAAATATGAGAATTGAGTATACCTTATTTGTTTAAAATTTTTGTCATGAGGGTAGGCTCTTATTTTTCTAGATTTATTCTAGTATTTGACGATTTAATCATGTTCGTAATTTTTTTCTTTTCTTTTAAGATAAAAAAAGAATTATATAAAATTATATCTGAGTTACAAGCACTCTAGAATATAATACGATTTAACCATCATCACTATTCTATTTTCACGTAGTAGACGACCATGACTATAGACAGTGGGGCGCATGTCACTCATGAATATTGAAATCTATCGGTTTAGTATTTTGGAAATTCTCATACCCGTAGTAGGTGACCGTGTCTGTTGACAATAGTACACATGTGATAACTCATAAATCTTAAAATCTATCAGCTTAGTATTTTGAAAGTGCTCATAGTGTAATTTTTTGTAGCTTTAGAATAGACTTAACATAAGGGTAGTTAAATGCTCTTTGTTTCAAATATACATTAAATCATCAATAGAAATAAAGATATATCCTTTATTTGTAAAGCTAGGTGTTTGTTAGTTGAACCCAACACTTTACTTGATGAAGATGATAGTTAGCTTAGTATCTTAGTCATTAGAGCTAGTTTAGTAGTTTACCATGTGTATTCTTATTTTAAGAGTTGTTGTTGCCGAAATGCTAAGTGTTGCATCATCATCGCATGCATGTAGAAACTAGTTGGTGGAGATCATGACCATCGGAGATCACGAGTTCGAGGAGATGATCGAGGAGTACGAGAAGGAGATCCTCATGCAGGAGGTCTCAGAGCCACCACTGACTGACTGAGCTGACACTACGCCTTCCCAAGGCAAACCCCGGTACATAACCCTTATTTTGAATAATCGCTGGATATATATATGTGATGTGCATCTACGTTATAGGATTTATATTGAAACTACATGCATAGATAACCTACATATGAGTCATACTAGCATAGGTCGAATAGCTGCTATGCTTAGGCTATAAGTAGCGTGAGTAACCTGCCGTTACTCACAATAGGTGATTAATATTATCACTCTCATGATAAAATGGTGAAAAGAAATGGAGACCGGGCAGGGATATGGTACGGGTATTGGTGGGTGTAATAGGTTGTGTCCTGCGGCCAACGGGACATAGCTTGGTTACACTATTTTCTCTATCCATGTCGGTTAAGGACCGGTCATTGCATTGGATTCTAATCAGGTCATAGACTTATTATCCTAAGCACATACTTACTTATGGGAAGTGGGAAGGCTTGTTGTTCTCTTGTTGTGGGTTCCGGCTTTTTCCGAACCAACTGATTAGAGGTGGGGATGGTGGAGGTCTAAGCACCACACTGAGTCCGGGACTCAGGTGTAGGGGCTTGAGTCCAAGTTTGGACGGGGCCTAGACCCCTTGATAGGAGAGCGGTGGGTTGATCCTGTTTGTGTCTGGGGTACAAGTGGGGCATGTGTTTTGGGGTACCCAGCTGGGCTACATTGGTTCGTGAATCGCTATGTAATATGGTATGACTTGTCTACGATCTAGCACCGTAGTAAGAACTGGAAGATAAAAGATGGTGAAATGGATCTGATTGCTCAACTCTTGCTTGAAAGTAGAACATGTGCTTACATAGAATGGTTAGATAATGAACTAATCATGACTGCTAATAAGAAACATACATAAGGATTCACTACTAGTATTGTTTTTTGCAAAAAGGAAACCCAACAAATCCATAAAGCCTATCATATCCTTTAGAGTTGAGAAATTTTGAGTTACGAGCTTCATAACTCTTTTCAAAACCTAAAATTTGACCAACAAAAGCTTTGCGAATAGTAGGATGCGATAAAATCATGTAAATAAGTATAAGCCCTAGTAATATGATCTATCTAAGATAGCAACATTGGTTTTATCTAATCAATTTTCTGCAGGTATACTAACTTACGCTGCGTAAGAATCGTTTAGCAAGCGGAAAGTGAGTGTGCGATGTGCCAAAAAAATTTATGAATGCCACTATATTCTGGCTGAGTGAACGGGTAGGCCGATGCATGCATCATGAAAAGAGAATCTTGCTTAAACTAAACTTCCCCCACAAGTATAATTTGGATTAGTGAATTGATTGGATAACCTAAAAGAATGCTTTAATAAAAGTCTTATTATTTCTCTAAGTCTCTTGTTCTTAATCTGGAGGGTTGTCTCTGATGGTTGGTTCTTATCTGTTTACAGATGAACCTAAGATCTGGTTACGGGAGTACCTGTGCTAGGATGGGCCGTGGTCCTAGTGAAGACCAGGGTGATAATGGTCACGGTGAGGACAATGGCCACACCGATGGGAATAGTCATGAGGCCCCACTTCTGGCTCCTCCTCCTCCGCCACCACCACCTCCGATGACCCATGCGGAGATGATGGCGAAGATGCTGGCTGCCTGGCGCGAGTCAGCTCGTGCCTTGGAGATGCTTGCCTAGGCTATTGGTGGCTTCACCCGTGGAGGCCCCGGAGGCAAAGGCGGGAACGGGGGTGGTGCCCGCGCTCCTGCGAATCCCTGTTCCTACTAGGATTTCCTGAAGACGCACCCGCCCACGTTCACGCCAATAGCTGAGCCTCTAGATGCGGAGCTTTGGCTTTGTATTCTGGAGTAGAAGTTTCAGCTGCTCACTGTGACTGAAGAACAGAAGGTGCGCTTTGCAGCGCAGCAGCTGTTGGGTTCTGCCAGAGCATGGTGGGACACGTTCAATGCCATGCAGCCGGTGGACCACCATGTGACTTGGTAGGAGTTTACCGCTGCTTTCAGAGAGTACTACATTCCTGCTGGTGTGCTGAATAGGAAGTTAACGGAGTTCCTGGACCTGAAGCAAGGGAGCATGTCTATGATGGATTATGTGAACAA